TATACAACTTAAGATATATAAGCTATATTCGATATATATATGTATATGTATATATATATATATATATATATATATATATATATGCATATATATATAAGCTATATGCGATATAATATTAGCTAATGCACTGATACTTAGTGCATAGTATAGTGTAAATATATATATATATATGTGTGTGTGTGTGTGTGTGTGTGTGTGTATAGACACACACACACGCTTCGTAGTACTACTTAACTGCATATATAGCATGTTAGAGTATATTTTAGTCTATTCACCCCTTGTATTACAAAAGTATTAACGGCTTACATTTATATTATTTAGATAGTAAACACAAAAGTGATTTTTAATTTTGACCAACTTTGGTCGCTAATTATACATAAATTTTTAAATTAGCGACCAAAGTTGGTCGCTAAATTTAAATCAAATTTATTTATATTTTATATAATATTCAAAATAATAATATAATTGTTAAACGTTAGAACTGGGTCCCAGGTTAGCGACCAACTTTGGTCGCTAACTTTGAATTATATTTATTTATATTTTATAAAAAAATTTAAATAAAAATAAAATTATTAAAATTTTATAATTGGGTCCCATTTTAGCGGCCAAAGTTGGTCGCTATCTGCTTGCCCTTTAATTAGCGACCAACTTTGGTCACTAATTTTAAATTATATTTATTTATATTTTATAATTTTTTTAAATAATATTATAATTATTAAAAATTTATAAGTGGGTCCCTCTATAGAGACCAACGTTGGTCGCTAATCTCAGTATACCTTAAACCAAGCAAGTCAGAACAGTCCAGTCAATATTTTGACGAAATTAGCAACCAACCTTGGTCGCTAATGTATTTCAAATAATTATTTTATTATTTTCGCCAATTTAGCGACCAACGTTGGTGTGATGACCCAAAAGGTCATTATTTGTTTTAAAACAAAACTTCCGTGTTCTGAGGCCTTAAAAACCTTATTTAGAGTTACCTCGATTTGTGTATGCAGTCCGGGCGCATAGCCGAAAAGCTTAAATATGAAATTTTGTGAAAAGTAATAAGTTTTGACTGTAAAATGAATAACTTTGACTTCGGTCAACATTTTGGGTAAACAGATCCGGATCCGTAATTTGATGATCCCGGAGGGTTCGTAGGAAAATATAGGACTTGGGCGTATGTCCGGAATCGAATTCCGAGGTCTCGAGCCTGAGAACTAAATTTTTAAAGGAAATTATTTTTCTGAAATTTTTTAAGGAAATTTGAAATGAAGTTTGATTAGAAAGAGATGGTATTGGGCCTGTATTTTGGTTCCGGCATCCGGTATAGGTCTTATATATGGGTTAAGTCATTTCTGTAAAGTTTGGTTGAAAACGAACGTCGTTTGACGTGATCAGGACCTAAATTGCTAAATTTGATACTTTATGAAGTTTGAGAAAAAGTTCTTGATTTTGAGGTTTGATTCATTGTTATTGAGGTTATTTTGGCGATTTGATTGCGCGGATAAGTTCGTATGATGTTGTTGAGTTAGTACGTGTGTTTGGTTAGGAGCCCCGAGGGCTCGAGTGTGTTTCGGATGTGTTTCGGCAAGTTTTAAACTTAGGAAAAAGTTGCAGATTCAGAGAAGTTGCAGGTCTCTGAAGCCAGGTCTCGCGGTCTGCGGTGGAAACTTCGCAGCCACGGTGGGGACTCCGCGACCGCGGTGGGATTTGTGCGGTCCGCGGTGAGCAAGGCCAAGCCTCCGCGGCCGCGCTCGATTTCTTGCAGTTCGCGGTGGAGCTCCGCTGCCGCAGTCCTTTTTATGCGGTCCGTGGAGAGGGTCTGAGAGGAGTATATTTAAACGGACTTTTCAGTTATTTTTCACTTTTCAAAACTCCAAAAACATAAGAGGCAATTTTTCAAATAACCTTTCTTCTCCAAATCAATTATAAGTCATTTTTAACTAGTTTTTTTCAATCATTAACATCTTTTAACATGATTTCAACTAAAGCTGTTAAACGGGTGGGCCGGGCCGGGTCCGTTTTCTTTTACCCATTCGGGTTTCGGGCCGGACCGGTTCCGGGTTGGTACAGTAACGGGTTTAGCGGGCTGGGTTAATCCGGGTAAAAATTGAACCATAATGGTTACGGGTTGAGGGGTCGGGTTTAGTGTATTTTTAATTTTTTTTTGGAATTTTGTATAACTATTGTAAGTTATATTAATACTTTGTATTAATTAAAAGAATACAAGTAAGATGGGGAAAAACTGCACTTATTGCAAGTGCTACTTTATTTCTTAATTTCAAGTTTCAACTTTCAAACTTACAAAATGAAATGTTTACATTTTTTTCAACAAGTAAACTAGTGAAGTAGTAATTTCAAATGTTTTGCATCGCCCTAGCAAGTTCATCATAATCAATATGAACCGATTGACCTTCTTCTGGCGTGTTAAATTCGGATGGGTTTCCATGTGTTAATATATCTCTAAGTTCCTCGTCTTCTGGGCTATCAACATCTTCCTTTCCTTGATTTCTTCGTTCCGATATAATCCAATCTCTGAAACATACTAAAACTTCCAAAACATTGCTTCCCAATGAGTGGCGGGTGTCTCCAAGTTGTTGTCTTGCTTGGCTAAATGCACTCT